TAGACTAACACTGTTAGTATTTCGAGCAAGGTAGGCTGAACTACACAACTTACCACTGCCAGTATCAAAAGAGCAAGAAATGACAACGTTTCGAGAGGATAATCTGAATTCACCTATTCCGCGTATTTATGTCAACCATTTACATATACTTAGTGGATTGGATAGATTGCATACAGAGATCACCAGGCTGTAAGAAACACCTAGGGCATTCATATGGCCGCTGCCTGAATGACATTTTCGTCGTTATACCCACGGCTAAGCAAGCAGAAAAATTACCGTTGGTGCTAAGCAACCGTTACCCCGCAATCTAATTTACAATTGGGAACGAATCTTACAACGCCTTACAATGTTAGAAGTTGGCTTAAAAGAAACTTAAATGGTACACTACCCTATGTTTGACTTTAGTGTCCTGTGAAGTACAAACAAACTCCGGTTCGCGCCAACTTTGCGATAGCTAGCCAGGTATACTCAGAGGAAGTGATTACATGTAAGCTGCAACGCGTCTCCTCTACAGTACGCGAAAATGGACGTTCGGGGAAGTTCCTAACAAAGCACTCAAACGGGATCGCGAAAGCCGGTCATGAACATGTGCCCGACGTTCCTAAGAAAACAGTGTTCATAATGATGCCATTCAAAGGAGACTAAAACTGCGGACGATTCAGACATGGCCTCTGTCAGTCGATAACACAGTACGCTGCTGAGCATTTGGTTTGACACCAAGTGAAGAAGTTGCTCTTTAAATCTTTTCTGGACATGAGAGACACTTGGGCTTCGCCAAAATTGCGGTTGGCGTATAGTACTGTTGCAAACAATGTAAATGCATTGTAAGCATGCGTTGTGGAGCCAATGTCATCGTCCAACAAGGCTTCAGGATCTCGCTGCTTGATGATGATAACACGTATCGGCGTAGCTTGCATGTCAGCCACAATGTATGTCACTACGTGCAAAAATGGCTGCCTGCTAGGCTGCGTGTAATAGTTGTCCAAGTCAGGGTTAGCGTGTACGGGTCCCGCTGTAAATTATTCAAAACAAGCTTCAATGACGTCGGTAAATGTGAGAACAGCGTTTGACTGCTTTCCGTATCTACCTGAATTGCCCGAGTAAACCCCGTGCGACGTCATAGGTTCCTGGCCCTGTTGTGCTGCCTTCGGCGATAACGTGGCATTCAGCAAAACGGCAGATTTGTAGCAAAATGATGTGGTTGTTTCCTTGTCCAGTGATGCGATTGACAAAGCTTTAGGCCAGCAGACAAGTCACTGGATGTAATAGAGAGGTTCCATCTGTATTCAGAATCATTTACATGGTCTCAATTAGTGAGCCGTTTGTGACTTCCAGACTGTCGTGGATCACCGACCTGGAGTCGCTGTGTCCAAATCATACGTTGTTATTTGTATTCCATTAGAGAACAAATAGGCTCGGCTCCGCCAGACATCCCTTTAAAAAGGCGTTCGGTTTATCACGACACGCAGTGATTGGACGGTAGTAAATTTTGCAATCTGCTCCGACCTTTAAAAATTTCCGTCGCAGTCCTACAGTCCATGAACTTAAAGAGTACGTGACAACTGCGGTGCTAGCCATGATCAGTAGGCTTATTCGCATGCACTTTATATGTCTTCGGTTTCACACCTCATCTAGACGGCAACAGTGATATTATGAGACAAGGAGATGTAACGCGCTGGTGTTGGTGCGATTACGGAGTTGTGCCAGGAGATAATGCAGTATAAATTCTGTGATATATATATACATATATATATATATATATATATATATATATATATATATATATATATATATATATATATATATATATATATATACATCTATAGCTTCAACCGCATCCAGTGCTACAACTATTCTCACGGCTTTCTAATGAATTCAGGCGCGACGCGCTCAAAACTGCTCGTCACTGGGAGACCTATGCCGGCCGGCTATATTCCACTCAGCAGCAACGCTATTTCCTTCATGAATGATTGAGAAGACAAGCTCTGCCTCCAAGTACACAGCACCGTCCACCAATAAACAAACCTTTAGCCGGGAAACCCACCGAAGAACACGGACGACGCACGTTACGTATGCTGATCACCAAGGCACATAACCGAAGGCAAAATTCTCACCGAACTAGATACTATCATTAGTCTCAGCAAGCAATAACCCTCGTTGCTGCACAAGTAAAATGAAGCGGTGACATTTAAAAAGAACTAGACGAACGCGCAATGAGTCAGAAATTCAGCAAGCTAAACGTGCGCTAAAAGGGCTAGGATATTTTAACATGCTTCCACAGATACACCGACTCATCTCTGAAAGCAAGCACTTACAGTTGACGGGGAAAGCACATGAAGATCAAACTACCATACGAATGACATGTAAAGCGAAAGAGCTAGTCTGATTTTCCGGTCAAAGAACCAAAAAGCGCTCTTCATTCATCATTGAAATGGTTGACGATAAACAGGTGAATTCATCTCTTTCTTCCTCACCTGCACGACCCTTGACACTAACGCTTTAATCACACTAAGGCTACATCTCAAGTTCCATTGCTCTCCGCAATATCCGCCAAGCAACACATTCCATTCAACCATGCTCAATTCTGGAAGCTGGTAGCATCTCCATTCCCACCATGAAACTGGGCGCGACTGAAGTGTCAATGCTCCTTTTGCATATGTTTACCGTTGCACAGGAAACTGAGTAATCTGCAGATCAATGGAAAATTTCATTCAGCAGCCCTC